AATGTTTGTCTGCTTTAACTTTGTTTGGATTAGGCCCGGAAATATTGATGTCATAAAAAGAAGATCAAGAATAATCAGGAATCACGATTTTAAATTACCACCACAACCTCAGCCGAGTTTTATACAAAGATTGAACACAACGTCAACATTGACCTAGGATACTGCAATTAGACAAACCATCCTTTTATGAAATTGTGTTCAGTGTGGTTACGTTTGGGGGTGCCTATCAGCGCCCCCAAACGTGAAAATATCACTTTTATTTCAACTATGAATATATTGTAGTTTAAATTAACTAATATGGGAAATAACGATGTACACTTTATTCAATGAGGGTGGGTAATTATTAAGGATATAACTGATAACGGTATGGATAATAAACATTGACAATTACGTCATTAGCTTTACTAGCGTGTTTACTTTTTATATTCCTGCTTCATGTGACCAGTTCTTTTAGTAATCGTGAGTTCTTTTTTTTCAAATGAATGTTATTTGAACCAAACAGCTGTTTCAAAACAAACTGTTATTGTTTTTACTTTTCTTTGTTTACACTTATTTATTTAGCAATTAATGCAGTGAAATTGATATAAAGGATAGGTGTGATGATTTATGTGTACTGTGAATTTTATTGGATATTATCGTTTTATTTTAGGTCGTTTCTATTCAGACCTACTGGAAATTGTGTATAGTAGTTGTATTGTGGTGATAACAATTATGGAAGAGGCAGGTATGCTATGGAAGGTGGTATCGTTGACTAAGTCTATACACTTCTCAATTGACTATTACTCTCTCTACTGTAGGCTACTTATAATCAGTGTGCGTCTGTGCGAATCGACTGCAAATCTCACTTCAACGCTTTTCACATCGTAAACATTGCAGAATTGCTGTTTTATTGTAAAATTATCGGATTTAAAATGCATATCGTATAGGCCTATGATGGAACAAAAACATATTTGGTCACACAACATTTGTTTACAAGATGATTTTTCACATTAAAACTGCAAGAAAATTTGTCTTTATATGTGTAAACTAGCTGATCTGAATTGTACATGGTTTTAACTGACTACTGAAATCCCGTACGTAGGACGGGCTAACACCTCGTGTATATTTAAATAATCTGTCATATTCTTACCGAATAAACGAACATATCAAAAGTTATAGCATTACATATAGCATAAATACGTCAACCCTACGTATGTCATTTAATTTCTATCCAAATGCTGAATTTGTGTCACAAACGCTGAATGTTTACAGCTGTTACGTTAACACGTTCGCTGCTACAGACGTTCCAGAACGTTAGCAGGGCCACGGCGCCAGGAGCTAGGAACGTTCCGGAACGTCAACATTCATTGTTGTTTAATGTTTCCATGGATAAGCCAGCTCGTCACAAGCGTCCTATATTTCATTGCAGCTCGTGGGGATGTACTTTTCTGACAATAAAAAATAGTTTCTCAAAATCACCACTAGGGTAGTTTGGATCAGGGCTTTGTCCCATCTCTTTCCTGCTAGATAGCGACACTACTTTACCGACTGCAACCTAGGTAGTGCTGCTATATATCAGAATCACTTAGTACTATGTCCAAAGCAAGTTTTATTGCAGAACATTATCATCCAGTATAACTACTGTTGTTTTTACTGTAATTCAGTTTATCGGCGGCAATGTCACGCAGAGGCCAAGTGTTAGTTCAGCTCCTGGCGCTGTCCCGGCATCTAGCGGTCAGCAGCGAACGTGTTAAGCGAATGGCATTATACAAAAAGCTAGTCTAGAATATTAGCGTTTGCTGCTGGACTTTTTAAAAATTAAAACTTAATTTCTAAAAAACTGAAACACTAAACTAAAATTATGGTTTCAACATTCCCTAGTTCTACCGACACAAAAAGTTCTATTATCTTTCTTTCAACACAAAAAACATGAAAATCCATCAAGTGGCTGGCTGATTTAGAATAGTGAAATAAAAAAAACCCTGTCACGTTTAAATATATATGATGAGTGAAGGATGTGTGTAGAAAAAAGTGAGATGATCAGTGTAGCTTTGTTTTGACTAAGATCAGGTGTTTCATTATCCAGGGTCATTCATTTATAGCCCAATTATCAGGTACAGCTGGGTACAGTTTTGAACCATCAAAAAGCTATTGACTTTTCTCAGGATTGATCCAGCAACCTTTGATTGTTAGGCAAGCTCTACAACAACCACCCATCCAATCAACTACCCACATCTGTCTCTGTCACACTCATTATAGCCAGGAAGAGCTGTAAAAGCAATAACCAACTCTGTAAAGTCCTGTAATGGTCAAATTTTATTAGGGGGGTTAGTTTTAATTATTTAAGGACCGCGAAGTGCTCGAGCGCGCTCGAAAACAAATTGGAAGTAAACACGTCCAGTTGTCCACTTGTCAAGGTCCCTAGTTCGTGACTTGGCCGCCGCGACCTCGGGGCGCTGACGTAGACGTGATGGGGAGAAGCCGAGACCAGTGGGCCGGGGTTGATTATTAGGACAGTCGATGGCGAGCGCATGTTCACAGAACGCCTCTCCTGAGAATATACGGCGGACCTGCTGCGAATGTTAAGACGTGGATGCGACTCGCAACGAGCGAGATTAAAAACAATAATAAAATCGAGATAAGTAGCGACAGAAGTAAGTACTGCAGTTTACCCTTACATTATTAGTCTTATTTTCCCGTTCACTTTGGCGAGTAAAAGTTAATTTTCTTTACGATCATCTTAGTTGTAAGAGATTAGCGTATTGTATTTCTCAGGCCGGCACTGCGAGTGCAGTGCCGCAGTAGCCTACACTTTTTAGTTTATTTATCTAAAGTGGTTTTATTTTATTTTATCTAAAAGTATTTTATTTAGTTATTTCGAAGCCAAGAAGTCCATTGGCATATTAGCGCTGACTCATTTCATTTCGTTAATTTATTATTGCGTGTGACGACATTTTAGTTCACTACGAGAATATTATTTTTAGTTTTTATACGAGAAGCGATTCCTTTTGTTAGGCCTAGAAGCTGGTCAAGTACTTTAGTTAATTTAGTAAGCAGCGTATTTAGTGCCGACTTATTCCTAGTCAGTGCGTCATTGTGCTGACATACCACTATAGTGCACCCGTGCGTGTAGGACGACGAAGGGATATTTACAAGATCGAGAAGCGGTTAGCGAGCGATGGGGGCTGTCAGCTAGAACCCTGGTCTACTCACGAGCTGTCCGAGCAAATCGGAGGTAAGTTTAGGATAGGTTAACCTACCCGAAATAAACACCTCACAGTCCTGGTACGAAATAGTTCACGTTTTCGTTGTCAGACCACACCCTACTCACAGGGACATATTTCCGAATAGGCGGACTAGGCGCCCGCCTAGGGCGGCAAATTTTAGGGGCGGCAAAATTTTGAGGGTAAAAAAATAAAAAAAAACTAAGTTTTAATCTAAAAAAATTAGCAAATAATTTTGGGAACGGCAAAATAGCCATTTCAAATATTTTGATGAAGTATACAACTATTTCAGAACGCATCCAAGTCAAACAAACGTCAATAGTTTATCACACAGCTGTGTAGAGCTGTCCGTGCTGCCCTATTGGTCTGGCGGACACGCTCGCCGCGGGAGCGAGTCGCCGTGCCGGCCGCTATGTAGTGACAAACGTAGAAAACACTCCCTTCTGTTTACTTCATACACCACTACGCAGCGGCAGCTCTATAGCTGAAAGGTCCTTTTGATAGGTTAGGTTAGGTTAAAACCTAGGTAAAACCAAGAAGGAAAGTTTGAACTAAATACTTACCACTGTACCAAACTTAACTAATTAAAAATTGTATATTATTCTTTCAGTATTAGTACGTAATTTTTCTTTGCGATTCATGTGCTTTTGGAAGAAATAAAAAGTATAAGAAAACATATTTCTTTCGTTTCAAATCAAAGCCAATAGCACGTCTCTCAAGTGGATCTGACTAATAGTGTTCAATGAAAAGCGTTATAAGAACCATTGTATACAGACGATTTTGTGTGCCGTTTCAAGCCGCAAAATGGGATTGTAAAAATACTGATTAGATAAAAAAAGTTGCATTCCGTGTAGGCCTATCCAAGTCAGAGTGTTTTGCAAAAAAACGGCACAAAAAAGTCCGTTAAAAGGGGTCGAAATACTATATTTCGTACCTAGGGCCGAAAATGAGGTTTTGCCGGCTCGAGATAGTTTTTAGGTTCGAGACGAAGTCAACTTAAAACGATCGAGAGCTGCAAAACCATTTTGATCCGTGGTACGAACGCTATTTCCCACCACACTATACCTAAATAGCACCTTAATTCACCACAATAATGATGCACACTGATAGTCAACACAACTAGAACTTTAAGGTTATGTGAAAAAATAATTTGAGGAATCAGCAAAAGTTAAAATAAATAGTTACTAAGCAGCGGTGACAATAAAACAATTCTATTGCAATGCTATGGATACTGATTGTGTATTTAATATGCATTCATGTTTTAAAAAGTAAGCGATCAGCTGATTTTGCGGCCCTAGGGATCTAAGAACCTGCTCGGTCCCCAGATGACGATGACTTTAAATCGTCATTTGGGATTTGGGCTTTAAATCGTAACTTTCAGCCACCAATTAACGCATGCAAAACAGCTAAAAACATCATAGTGTGGTGAAAAGTTATTAAATTTGTTGATGCAGCATGCAATATTACCAATTATTTTTCCACAAAACCAGCTGACAGGGCATGTATTGGCCATTGGGGTGATATTAGTGAGGTCGGGGAGTGCGTTGAAAAGTGGGAGCGGGAGGGGCGGCGGCAAATTTTGTTGCCTAGAGGCGGCAGATACTTAAATACGTCCCTGCCTACTCATGATAAGTGGTTCTTGCCAAACCGTAGCAGTATATTTTTGCGTTTGAAGAGAAAGGTATGTCAAACCGCCATGAAGTCTAAAAATTGTTCTCCCTTTTTCAACTTCTTTTTTACCACAAGGATTCCATTCATAATTTTGACACTTATTTACTAGATTACACATTGACTCACCTATTTGTCAGGCTTGTACTGAGGCATAGCGACAAATCTAGTGACCAGTGCGTCACGCAGGACTATGGGGGCGACACAGGCCAGGTTATGGTAGAGGCTGTAGCGCCAGGGTGTGTTGTGGTAGTGAGGGCGAGGCCGAGGATCCAGCAGGGCAGAGTCTAGTAGTCTGTAGAGCGCAACACTCTGTACAGGAGCTGCAGGCTTGTCTCCTGATAGAGCTGTTAGGTATGACTGTAGGGGAAAGCATCAGGTTTAGCTAAACTTTCACACACTACAGCATTACAGCATTGACTTTTGTAAACTGAAGTAAGTATCCTAAACGGACTAGTTGCAGTTAATTTAATCAAATATAACACAGTTGAATTAGCATGTCACATGGTGTGCTTTAGTCAATACTATATTTTCTCCCCTAGTTTTTGTTACTTAAGAAAGAAGGGAGGATGAAGCAGTGGATCGTGCAATCTGGATGCAGTGTGTTGGAGAGGCAAAGTACCTCCTTGGGTACCAAGAGCCACGGCAGTAAGTAAGTAAGTAAGTTTTTGTTACTATACTATGATTGTTGATCTGATCTATCTATATATTAATAGGCAAGCATGTTTCTTTAGAACCTTTTTTCTCAGCTCGTGTGCATCGCAGGGAAAATCTGCGCATACCGTTGGAAAGATATTTTCCTGTAGAAGTGCAGAATCCCTTTAAAAATTGAAATAGGCTCAAATATAAGCACAAAAAATGGATTTGAAATTACACAGAAATAACATGGGCTTTATGGGTTGCCATGCTGATGATGAAATAACAACGAAATATAAACATAAAATCAAAACAAATGGAAGAAATTACAATCACATGTTTTATTTACAGCGTGGTGTTAAAATAGAGAAGCCTGTACCTTTACATTCCATTCCATCCACATGTTAAAGTTGTCTCCAGTTTTTTCTTTAAATTCGTCGTAGTTGATGTGAGCCACCAACAGATTGCACTGATCTAAATGACTAACTTCTGTCGAATACAAGATGTTTTTTACCAAGTCAAACTTTTGGAATGACTTATTATGAGCTATAGCAACTGTTATGACCCATCAACTCTGTCAGCAACAAAAAATAAGGTATAAAATAGAATTTAAGACATGCATTTGGTGACTGGCTCACACAACTATATGTTTTTAAATAACGAAATGACGACAGCTGGTCCATAGAGATGGGGTGTCTACTTCAGTATCCAATAGTCAATATGTGTACATTACATGTTTCTGGTCGAGTTTCGACCACTGGACGACCACTAGTATAAATTATTATGCAGTTAACCATAAGTTGTTCTTTTAGTCTGGATTGGTTAAATAAAAATGTTGGCGTCTTTGACAGCAATCGGTAATAATTTATATCAACATACTCTGTTTTTTTCCCAACATTCTACTATAGGTATATTGATGATGTATGTATGATCTATGTATTGTGCACTATGTAGGGTGTGAATGATAAATAAACATAATGTTAGCGTTTGGTAGGTTTCAGTTTGGCTACCTTATTGATACTTGATAGTTCGTAGTAACATAAATATTCTATTTTTTTGTGTATACATTTTTATTACTTATTGTAAAGAACAAATTACCATTTAAAATAATAGTTGTTAGCGCAGAAACGCGCACCGGGTAATTGCTAGTTATATTATAAAAAGAGAAGCACGATTTTTGCCTGTAGAACTCCTCCGTGGTTTTTCAACAAATTTTGTTAGTTCACGGCTCATTTGAAACATCTCATTGAGTAGGTGTCATATAAGGTCTGACATGTTTAAAAAGTCCCTAGGGCTCTGTCCCAGTGGTTCTTAAAGTTCCAATGTCTCATTTTTTTTGTTTACATAGGTTTGAGCTATTTTTTTTAACAGCTAGTAATAAATTTATATGTTTATGTTGTAGGAATCAAGGAATGAAAACAAATAATATTTTTTCCTACAGTTACCTAACAATGTACATGTTCTCTCACTGATTTGAGAAAGCAAAGTGGCCAATTCGCTCATCAGTGAGACAATGTTAACATTGTCTCACTCTAATTACTTTGTCTCACCCCAGATTTGCAACGTGAAGGCACGAAATAGTGAGCGCGTAACATGCAGGCAACGTCGTATGCGCGCGAAATACGTTGGCAGCACTGGCTGTAAATCAGCTGGTCAGCTGTTGTTCTGTTGTATTTGTCGCTTCACGTTAAATGTTATATTAAAAGTTCACTTCTGTGTAAAAATAGGTTATGTTTCTTCACCAATTTATTTGTTTTATGATAACTGTAGGAAAAGTACAATGTGCAACTCGAGTTCAAAGTACAATTGCCTCACTCGAGAAACCATTCCTCACTCGCCTACAGCTCGTGAGTAAGGATTTCTCTCGAGTGAGTCAATTGCTCACTTTTCTCACTAGTTGCACAAATAACTAGTGTAATTACATGGCTTAAGTTAGTTTTTTTTTTTATTTCACTATTGCCTGCTTTTTCAATACGCACTTCTTTAGTACTCTTCTAAACAATTGCATTGCTGGATAAAACGGTAATCATAGCAGTATTTAGCTGGAGCTTTATCTGGACTCCATGTACTGATTCCAATAATTAACTTGCGACCTTCTGACACTGCTCCCTTTCACATTGGACTGGACACATTTCCCCTTTTATCCCGGCATTCGCAATGACCATCAACAAGGCGCAAGGACAGTCAATTAGCATAGTTGGAGTACTTCCAAAACATGTGTTTGGACACGGCCAGCTCCAGTAGAGCAAGGTCTTTTGCTGGGCTACGGTTTTTCGTAGAAGACATTTCCGATCAGATGATCATTGTTTTTACACTAAAAACATTGTTTATATTAAACTGTTTCAAAATTTACTGTTAAAGAATATAAAATGTGTATTTATTACATCAGTGAGCGCATGATGTTCCAGGTTTGTTGTAAAATAAATAGCTTTAACTTTCACTGAGAATTTGAGGAGGGATGATAAATTGAGACTAATAACGTGCTTATGCATATCTGTCATAGGCAATGCCGTCCTTCACTATGTTGAAACAGCTACATTTGGAAACTGTTCTACATAGTTTAATAAACTCGCACAATCGTGCGACCCCGAGACGTCCTAGTTAAAATAAACATGGTAGACATACTTATTTTCATTCCAAAAATAGAATTAAAAAATATAAATAGACTTGAATTAAAATCAAATAAAGAATACCTGGTACAGTTGATAATAAGAGCCGTAAAACTTCTTAGCTTCCTCACTCATTGCCTTTAACATAGTTTCAGCATGAGCATTCTGATTGGACAGTATGTTGGTTTGTTGGAAAAATGCACCTGTGTACAAACATTTAAACTTTGTTAAATATCATGATTTTTCAGTGACTTTTGGCCTCTTTTGTGAATAGAAGAAGAATTTAAGATTCAGAAGAGATTATTGCAATAGGATCCCTGGACAGTGTTTGTAAGAAATGCAATTTCTCTAAATGGAAAGGTCAAAGGAGTTGTCTCCCGAACCCCTATATTTCCTCCCTCTATGATGATTTGAGAGTGAAAAGTATTAGAACAAATCTGGCAAATACAACAGTGATTTCCAGATTACTTCATTTAGAGCACAACAAATTTTTGTAAGAGCTTTATCTTCACTTTCAAAGTCCAAGGACAAGATAACCATTTATTTAGATATACCATTATTTAGATTATAAACGAATTACTACCAGGTATCAATGATATGACTGAGATGTTGTATTTAGCCCATTCGACTCGCAGTGCGTCCGACCAGGCCTGTAGCCCGGCCTTGCTGGCAGCGTACACGGACAACCCTGGCAGTGGCAGACTGCCACAGTGACTGGTCATGTTGATCACTCGACCTACACCAACATCAGACACAGCTAAACAAATTTATCTAATCATATTTAGCAACTCAACCAAATAAAAGCAAAAGCATTGTTGTTTGGTTTTCTTTAAAAAAAAAAAAAAAAAAAAAAAAAAAAAAAACTAGGTGGCGTTCGCAGAGGCATCCAAAAATTGAGCAGAGTCATTGGGGTTCATATTATATTGTTATTTGCCTTCTCCATCGAGCTTCATAACTATTTTTACCCACAGTTTTTTAAGTGAATACAACATTTGTGTAGAGATAAATATAATTAGATTGGTTACACATTGTGTGTAATGAAGGAGAGTAAAAAACACAGAGATGTCATTTTAGGCCTTTTTGGAGACATGCATTTACATTGTAAGTTTAAAACTTGTGGGTTGGTCATCAGCGTTTCCCAAACAGGGCCGGCTAAATCCAGTTTCCAGCAGAAATCATTCTCGTGGCCAAATACCCCATAATAAACAAATAAATTAAAAATCCTCGGACAAAAATTAAAGTTTGTCTGTACACGTTACAATTCTATTTTGGTGATAACCTAGAAATCAACCCCTACAGTTTTGGATTTCATTTTGGCTACTGATAACTGCATAAGAGGACTTCATGTGATGGTGATTATGTAAGTGAAAACACGAAATATAATTATTGCACTCTCTATTCATGCCTACTAAAACATAACTTACTAGCCAACTAGATAAGTATGCTCGGTAAAACAATTTAACATGTTTTTTTTTTCAATATCAAAGTACCAGGAAACCGAGCTTTGCTCGGATTGAGTTAAATATTAAATTTATTTTAAAAGCTATTTAGCTAAATGAAATATATTTATTATGTACGGGTATCAATGTGCATGACCCCGTGGACATCAATGTGATGCAGATGATACAAAGAAAACATTTTGACACACCTTTATATAAATACATTTTATATTGCAATTGAAATAATAATTGTTATGTAATATGATTTCTATTGTACTGTCAAATATTTCTTCAGCTGTTTTATTTAAGACTGTTTTTTTATGCCTATGTAATGTTTACAGTTTTGTGTAATTCTCTCATGTAAAAATTAAGTTACCCTATTTTTGTTAAAAAGAAGATTGCGGAAAAAAGAAGGTTGAGAAGAATCTGGCAAAATAGCAGGAATCCAGTCGATAAAGCAAATTTTAATAGGGCATCTCGAAATTTGAAGCGACTGTTATATGATGTAAAAAATCGCTGGTTTGAGAATTACACCCAATCTCTATCACCTTCCGAAGCTACGGATTATTCCCTCTGGAAAGCTACGAAGCGAATGAAGCGCCCAAAGATTCGAATTTCGCCTATTTTAAAATCTGATGGGAGCTGGGCAAAATGTAACACAGAAAAGTCTGAAGCCTTTGCTCAATACTTTGAGAATGTGTTCAAACCAAATGCGGCAGTAAACAACGAGGAAGAGATACTTGAATATTTGGATGCTCCGCTACAACTTGACTTCCCATTGCAGAAGTTCAAACCATCAGAACTAAAATCAATCATCACCAACAATCTTCATTCTGACAAGGCTCCTGGTTACGACCTCATAACTGGTAAAATACTTAAAGAGCTTCCACGAAAAGGAATAATGTTTTTGACTATTTTATTTAATACAATGTTAAAACTTGAATATGTACCAGATCATTTCAAAAGAGCACAATTGATAGTCATTCCGAAACCTGGGAAGCCTCTTGACCAGGTAATTTCTTACCGACCCATAAGTCTTTTACCAATAATGTCTAAGTTATTTGAAAAACTTCTTCTGAAAAGAATACAAGAACTTATTGGCGAAGATGTGATTCCTGCACATCAGTTTGGTTTCAGACGGAAACACAGTACCATAGAACAGGTTCACCGAGTTGTTGACGTGATACGTTAATGTATAGAAGATAAAAAGTTTTGTTCAGCTGCCTTCTTGGATGTTAGCCAGGCATTCGATAAGGTGTGGCATGTTGGCTTGTTATATAAAGTAAAAAAGTTTTACCCCATTCAATTTATAGCATTTTAAAATCCTACCTTCAAAACAGGACTTTCCAAATTAAATATCAAGACGTCCTCACTAACCTACGTCCAATTAATTGAATCTGGGATTCCTCAAGGAAGTGTCCTCGGGCCGTTTTTGTATATTCTCTACACAGCAGATCTCCCAGAAAATGAGTTGGTAGAAATTGCTACATTTGCGGATGATACTGCGGTTTTGTCTGTTCATCGTGATCCATTTCAAGCTTCTCTAAATTTACAGCAAAATCTGAACATAATTACTGATTGGTTTACGACATGGAGATTCAAAATTAATGAAACTAAATCTGTCCACATTACTTTTACTCTAAATCAAAATTCTTGTCCTCCTGTCACAATAAACAACACCCAACTTCCCGAAGTAACTGAGGTTAAATACTTAGGTATCCATTTAGATAGGAAGTTAACTTGGAAAACACACATTTGGAGAAAACGGCAACAACTAAATTTAAAATCTAATCAGTTAAATTGGCTCATCGGAAGAAAATCAAAACTTAGTCTGGAAAATAAATTATTGCTATATAAAACTATATTGAAACCAATCTGGACATATGGAGTGCAGCTATGGGGCTCAGCGAGTACTTCTAATATAGAAATTCTCGAAAGATATCAATCGACAATGCTGAGGAAGATAACATATGTACCATGGTATGTCAGCAATAGGACACTACATCAAGACCTTAAGATGCCTACAGTTAAGGACGAAATCATGACCATAAGTGAACGATATATTACGAAATTCGAATCTCATCAAAATCATTTAGCTCTTAACTTATTAAACAACGTGGATACAATTTACAGACTTAAGAGGCCATCAATTCTCGACCTGCCCTACAGATTTTTGTAAAGTGTTTTTATTGAAAAATTTGTTGTTGAGAGTGCTTAACAGCTATTTTTAATGTTCCAAAGTCAATTTTTCGTATTACATAGTATTTACTTATTGTTCAATATATAATAGAACAGATTGTAAAGTAAATAAATAAAAAAATAAAAAATTTGGTTTCTAAACATTTGCTTTCATAACACCTGTATCAGCTGTTTTTATTAACTGCAGCTAAAATAAGGTATTGACGATAACATGAGCACTTTCAATGGCTTCTCGTGGCCAAATACCCCATAATAAACAAACAAATTAAACATCCTCGGACATTAATTGCTACAGCCATCTAAGAGGAGTTTGCGTGTTACGGAATGCACAAGAGTCGACGTATAAGAGCTTCACTCGCTCTGCTCAATTAATTGTGGTACAACAAAATATAAATAGGTTTTTGTGACTTTTGAAAACTAACACAACACCCATTGTGTGTTTTATTGATAATGCAGCGTTTAAAAAAAAAATTTTTTTCAAAATGTGAAAAAGTTTATCAAGACAAAGACACCGATAATTATTGCATAAGCTGCAACAAGATCTGAGTTGAATCCTTCTATAATGCTGGTTGCTGGGCAGGGCAAGATTCAAGATTTTTATGTCAAAAAATATACAAAATGCCAACACTGTACTGCTGTCAAATACTGCACTGATTTCCATTGTATACGACTTTTAACCGAAGCAAACTGACAGGACACCTTACTAAAAACCGTAGCATATTATTGTCACTTCAATTATTAAAATATCACAAATTAAGTGTTGGAAATTTGAAATTTTTACAGTCACTGTGAGCGGTCCACTCACCTAGTTTGTGAGTAAACTACTACATATTTCATACAGGAGGTTTTGTCTACTCAAGTGAACTAAAAACCAATGATACAAGTCTCAGGCAATGATCACACCTAACTTCTACCGCACTAACAAGACTGGTAAAACCAAAGTCGTAGCGTAGTAGTTCTAAGTTTATTACTTAAGTTCAGTGAACAGCTTTTGGAAGGCTTTATGAATTTTTCTTACACTAAGAAAAATGGATCAGAGACAAAGGTTAAGAATGATAAGATGAAAACAAATGATTAGCATATGAGTAGAATTGTTTGGGAACATTCCATACCTTTGTATTTCCTAAGCAGAGGTGCGAAGAGCCTCGCAACAGTGATGGCTCCCAAGAGATTCACCTCTAACTGTAAGTCGACTATTTGCTCCGTCTGCCACTCCATCTCTCCAAACACCATCACACCTGCGTTGTTGATAATGCTGTGGAACTCTAGAAAAAATTAATAAATTAACTTTTTAAAAAGGAATATAGAATAGGAATTACCTATGGTAATAGCTTATTCCCTTTAAGAGAAATTCGCTAAAACCTAAATGTGTTGTAAAAAACGTGAGTTTCCTTATTGCTTTTACAATCAAAATGAAGTATACCGAGCCCTGGCTTGGTCCCCCGGTACTATTAATTGAAAACATCAAAAACTCTAAGGAGTAATCAATCAAAATCAGAAAAATCTCATACAAAGTTATATGAAATGTTGTATAAGTAACTGATAATACAACAATTAATTAATAATACAAACTGATAATAGTTGATAATACTACAAAGCTAGTACCTATATAGTTTAGACTTACTGAGATTGTTATTGTTGTCCAACAAAGATGAGACTCTGTCCACCAACCGAGAGATATCCTGAGAATGTCTCACATCTACCATGACCACCTCCAGCCTGCCACTGATCTGCGATTGACATGATCAACACTTTGAACATTGGTTAAAAAATATTTTGTCACTATTTAGCGACAACAATATATTTCATAGAGTAAATATCATCAGTCTAAAATAAAAGTGTTGTACATCAATGAGTTTCAAAGCTTTGACTATTGATAAAAGTAGACATTCCACAAAAATCAAGAAGAAACCTGACACAATCTATCTGGAAATCCAGTCTAAGATGAAGACATCAAGTGTGCCAAAGGCATGGATTAGGTTAATAATATTCAGCTGATAAAATTTGATTTATTTTTGTTTTCAACTTATAATTTTGTTACTTTGTAAAAATAAAACTGTGTGTATCAATAACTCTAAACTTATTTCAGTTTTGTCAAACTTAAACTAACTAACTTGAACTTTACTAACGTACTATTTGAATATGACGACTCGACTGCGGAAGAAGACCGCCAATCTCAAGCTACGCGTAAAGTCTACCCTTGCTGAAGCGCCCTAAATCAAGCTAATCATGACAATAATTCAAATGGTCTTTCATCTGAGCGAGTGTTGGAAAATCCACGAAGTTTAGTACAACTGCCTAAACTAATCCTACCCATGTTTGACGGTAATATTCTTATATGGCAAGAGTTTTGGGACTCGTACAACTCTGCTATTCAGGGTCAGCAATATTTAAATAAAGTAGATAAGTTCAATTATCTTAAGGGTAGAAACACACATACAGCGACTGGGAGCGGAGCAGGGTGGGGCAGAGCGGCGCGATTTAGAGCAACAAAATCAAACCTAAACAATCAAGTAGGATCGCGCACACAAGCCGCTGTGGCGAGCGTAGCGGTTAACTTTGGAACAATCTCGTTTGTTTTTCTAGATTTTGGGAGCGGAGCGGGCAACGATCTTGTGGACATTTTTACTTCCACTTTCGCCAGTAGTCCGCTCTGTGCATTCTACCGGAAACGGAGCGTTTTGGGACCTTCTCGAACCTTCTCTTGTTGAAAGAAGGTATTCAAAGGTCGGGGTGGACATCTATTGCATGAATCAAAACTGGAAACAAATGGTGATATTAACCATGTACCTCCCTTCCACCATTCACTCCATGCAACCACTCCGATTGGTTTGAAGCACGCAAAATTCATGTTTTTAGCCAAGTGTTTTTGCTGTGCTGCAAATTGCGTGCGAACTTACTATGTGATATCTTGGAAATGATCGAGCTCCTGTTCGTGTCGCTCTCTCTAGTTTTCAACTTATAATTGTTACTATGGAAAAATAAAACTGTGTGTATAAATAACTCTCAACTTATTTCAGTTCTATCCAATTTTCAAACTTAAACTAACTAACTTATACTTTACTAACATACTAACATACTAACATACTATTTAACATCAAGTTTAGTTTCTTTGGAAAAAGCAGAGTGGGACAAGATCCCCATGTCAACAAGACCGAAGAAGAAAATATCGACGATTTTGGCATTACAGTATTGTGAATAAAGATTACGTCGTTTCCAAGACCGTGAGAAACAATAATAATGTCTACAAGACCAAAGAAGATATCTAAGATTTTTGCACTAGGAAAAAGGTGACGTTTTTTCCGTCACCGCAGCTAGGAGACGATGATGACGTCTTCAAGAGCGAAGAAGATATTCATGATTTTGCCTTAACGGCAGAAAAAAAAAAGACTGGAAGACGATGACAATGTCTACAAGACCGTAGAAGATATCCAAGATTTTTGCACTAGGCCTATTGTGGAAAAAGGTGATGTTGTTTCCTTGACTGTGGGAGACGATGATGATGTCTTCAAGACCTCAGATGATGTCAAAGATGTTGCTGCGATAACGTAAAACAATGACGAGTTTCCATGACCGCGGGAGACGATGATATCATGTCTAAATGAACGCAGGATATATACAAGATTTAGCTGCGATAACAGAAAATGATGACGGTGTTTCCATGACGATAAAAAACTATTGTTATCCCGTTCTGTAACAATGTGCGTACATTATGTAGATACACAAAATAGTTATAATAAAAATCTAAAGAGAGGTAATGGAATCTCAAAACAAATATGCAGGGCCATATTTCCCTTATGGTGGTTGCCGGGGGCCTCAGCCTGGGAGGGGGCCACACATAAGGCCTCAAAGGATTTTTTTTAACTCTTGAAAAGTAATTTCACCGATAATCTGTAAGGAGATACGATTTATTACTGTTGTGACTTTGAATTAGAGTTCATAATAAGCACGCATTTGAATAAACTCTTTTATTGAAAGTAATATTTACAACTGCAAATTGAAAAGGTAAACATTGTTTTAAATCTAATGACAACAGCTGATAATATACAGTATAAAGAATACTACAATCTCCCCCACTTATTTTGAACTCATTTTGTAACATAGTCTTTAAGGTAATCTGGAGCTTTATGAGTGCGGGTTGAACATCGTATTCGTGGTCGTGGTGATGTTGGTTGTAAGTTCTCTTCACCTGGTAATCTGACTAATTCTGGTACTTGCATAGGAACTTGCTGTTGCGGAAGTATGGGTACTTGCATTGGAACTTGTGGAATTTGATTAGGTACTTCTTCACATTCGTTGAAACGAACCTTCTTTAGGCCTACTTGAGTTTTCCGGAGTTGGTCTAGATGACGTTTCAGTGTTCTTCCAGAATCTAACCTTACAATATAGTGAAGAGTCCCTAGTTTCTGTATAATCTCACCAAATGTCCATATATATTTATTATTTTGTGAATACTCCCTAATGAGAACTCTCTCCCCCACATTGAATGTTCGAACTCTTATTATTGAAGGAGGATTCTTTGCCGGATGGTAAGGTTGAAGAGCATCCAGCTTGATGCGAATCCTACGATGAAGATATCGTTCTGCAGGTGATTGTCCATTTGAGAGAGGAGTGGCACGATATTGTTGAAGAATCTCTTGAACCTTTGTATGTATTTGACGATGGTCATCTTCCAATGCTTTTAATCTTTGCTTCAAAGTCTGGATAGTTCTTTCAGCAAGACCATTTGTAGCTGCATGTCCAGGTGCAATCAGTTTCTGGAAAATTCCATTGGATGAACAGTATTTCTTGAATTCTGCGCTGGTGAAAATTGTGGCATTGTCTGATACCATCACTTGAGGATAGCCATTAGATGAGAAAATGTTGTCGAGAAGAATGATAGTATTAGAAGTTGTAGGAGCATTTCTCAATACTTTAACTTCTACCCACTTTGACTTGGCACACACAAAAACAAGAAAGTAGTGGTTTTGAAAAGGCCCCGCGTAATCTATATGAATACGCTCCCAGTTTTCTTCTGGCTCTACCCATGGATGAAGGGGTGCTTTGGGAGGATTGAATTTTATGTGGGCGCAAATTTCACACAATTGGACTAATTTCTCTATGTCCTTGTCAATCCCTTGCCAATAAACGTATCTTCGGGCTAATTGCTTCATCTTTGTAATACCAATGTGAGTAGCATGTAGTTGCTGTAAGACTTGAGGTTGAAGGCTGTTAGGAATGACAGCACGAGTTTCCTTGAAAAGTACTCCATTGTCCAATGTGTATGGTAGGTCAGTAGAAGAAGACAAAAGTTTCCTTTTAATTTCTCTAAGATTTTGGTCAGCTTCTGTTTCCCGGGCTAGAATAGTTGCATTTAAATGTTCAGAAGATATTTCAAAAATTGTTTCTGAATGTAGCAAGGTAACTTCATTGTTTAGGAAAATGTCTAAGGTTTCAGAATGTTGAGTGACTGGAGCTCTGGATAAACAATCAACATTAGCATTTGCTTCCCCTTTCTTGAAACGTATTGAATAGTTAAACCCTGATAGAAAAGATGCATAACGGAGTATTCGGCTGGAAGTCATGGGTGGTAAGGATTTGCTTTCATGGAAAATTCTTGAAAGAGGGGCATTATCTGTAATTAAGGTGAAGTGAAGTCCATACAGATAATTGTAAAAATGACTGACTCCAAACACGATCGCAAGAGCTTCTCGATCGAGCTGACTGTAATTTCGCTCTGATGGAGTTAAGGATCTGGATGCGTAAGCGATCGGTTTCTCTTCATCATCAATTATGTGACTCATTACAGCTGCAATTCCGGTAGGACTGGCATCACATGTTAGAACGATTGGACGATGGGGGTCATATGGTACTAGAACTCTTTTAGAAGTTATTTCCTCCTTGAGACAATCAAATGCAGATTGACAATCTATTGACCAATGAAATCTTCTATTTTTCTGAGAAGCTGTCGAAGAGGTGTTGTTTTTGTAGATAGGTCTGGGATGAACCGAGCGTAGTAGGTAACCATTCCAAGAAATTTCCGGACCTCATCAATATTTCTTGGTTGAGGCATATTACAAACAGCTCTAATCTTTTCTGGACTTTTTGAAATTTGATTGTACTTAATCACATGACCAAGATAGTCAATCTGTTCGCAAAAGAATTTGCATTTGTCTTTGTTTAGATGCAAGTCGTTCGCATGTAGACGGAATAGACACAACCGTAAATTATTGTAGCATTCATCTTTTGTTGTACCATGCACGATTATGTCGTCAAAATAAACTTCAGTCTTTGGTAACCCGTTTAGAATTTGGCTTAGAATGCGATTGAATTCGGCAGGCGCGGTCTTGATTCCGAAACTAAGTCTGTGCATCAAGTATGTACCGCGGTGTGTAGTAATAGTTTGAATTTTGCTGCTTGGGGCATCAACTGGAATGTGCAAATAAGCCTTGTAAATATCAAGCTTGCAAAAATATTTAGAGTCTCGCAAACAGTGTAAAACATCTGGAATGTGTTTGATCGGGAAATTAGATGAAACAATACGATCATTTACGCCTGTTTTGTAATCAACACATAACCTCACTGTGCCATTTTCTTTAGGAATAACAACTAAAGGCAAACCCCAATCGCTAGCATCGACTTTAGATATTATGCCGGATGATTCAAGACTGTTGAGTTCTTCCTCAACCTGAGATCTAAGGGCAAACGGAACATTACGTTCTTTGGTATACACAGGTTTAGCGTTTTCACGTAATTGAAGTGTAACTTTGTGGTTGGGCAAACATCCAATTCTTTGGTCGAAAACTGTGGAAAATTCAGAAAATATGTCATCAATTGAATGGAATGTTTCGGAGACATTGAAAAAGTTTGGTTGATTTGAACCATCATCTATTTCTTGTAGACTTATATGTAAGTGTCGAATCCAAACTCTTCCTAGGACTGCTGGACAATTATCAGGAACTATATACATATCTTCAATTGATTTATGGTTTTTGTAAGTAACCTCAACTGTAACTTTGCCCAATGGTTTAAATACATTATTTGTATAAGCACGGAAATACACATTAGTTGGGTCAAGTTTGACGTTGAGATTTAACTCATTGAAAGCTTTTTCTGGTATTAATGTAAATCCTGCTCCGGAATCTATCTCAAAACGCATTGGTTTGTTATCAATTGAAACTGTAGCAAAATACTTATGTGAATCGGGTAAATTTGATCGTTCGTTCTGGTCAAATATGTCTATGATATTAGGTTTGGTAACTGGATGAACTTCAGTGATTTGATTTAAGCCTAGCGGAATGTCATCAGAGGTTGAAGAAATGTACTTTGTTGAATTGAACTTAGATTGATTGGTAGAAGACTTATTTTTCATTTGGGTTGAAATGCAAACTTTGGCTACATGGCCTTGTTTTGAACAGGAAGTGCAATGAAGTGATGACTTGCTAGTGCGACACTCAGTTGCGCGGTGATTATTTCTACCGCATCGAAAGCAAAGATCTCCAAAACCTAGGCGATTGAAATCTACTTTTGATTGAGAACGATAAGTATGACCAGAATTTGGATTCTTACGGTAGTTTGAACGACTTCTCTGATGTTTTGTACCTACATTTGAAAGTTTATTGATATCTACATCAGTTGGAATTGAATGCTGATGTTTGTTCAAAGCCTGGGTCTCTAATCGGGAAGCTTCCAAAGCAGTAGCTTTGGTTACAATGTCTTTGAATGAAGTAGTGTCTGATTGTAATAACTGTTCTCGAATCCAGTCATCTTTTAAGCCTCTTATGAATTGAGCTCTTAAAAATGTATCTGAGACTGAAACTTGTTTTGAACATTCACACTGGACTGTAAATTCACACTCAGACAGGTCTTTTTGTAGTGAAGCTATGTATTCAGGAATTGATTGATTTGCTTTTTGATAAGTGTTTAAAAAGTAATGTTGTGAAACTACAACGTTTCTGTGTGGTGAAAGCATGTCACGTAGTGATTTGACCAAAGTAGCAAAATCTAGGTCTTTGATAGGTTTTTCAGGTCCAATTAATGATGAAAGATTATTGTAGTGAACAGAGCCAATTGAAGCGCAAAGAAGTTGTGCTTTTTTCCTTTCATCTGAGATGTTTTTGACAGCAAGATAATTTTCAAAGCGTTCCAAATAGTTTTTAAATTTTTCCTTTTTCTGATCGAAATTTTCAAATGGTTGAATACTTACTAACGTATTACTCTGCTGTACTGGAGGTTGAAGTTGAAGTTTTTCGGTAATCTTCGTTGCAAGTGTAGCTGCAAGTGTGACTTGGCTCTCAGTGAATGCTTTCAGTAGTGCTGTAAATTGTTCTGCATCCATAATGTACAAAATCGAAATTTAGAAAAGGTTTTAAATCCAAATAATGAGTAGAAATTTTGAAAAACTTTTTCTCGTCGCCAATTGTTGTGACTTTGAATTAGAGTTCATAATAAGCACGCATTTGAATAAACTCTTTTATTGAAAGTAATATTTACAACTGCAAATTGAAAAGGTAAACATTGTTTTAAATCTAATGACAACAGCTGATAATATACAGTATAAAGAATACTACAATTACCCTAGCTTTTATTATAGCAATCGCTAAAAGCATCAACTACCGAGATTTAATATATTATGATTTGCTTCAATCGCAGCAGACTAAGATGAAGTCCCCGTGTCACAAAAGATGTTCACTATTTTGTCGTGAATGTAGGAGACATGATGTCTCTGCGATCAAAAATGATATTCACTATTTTGCCATGAACGTGGAGACATTCGAAATTCTTTTGATATCGCAGAATATGTCCTCTATTTCACTGCAACCGTAGGGGACGGTCACAATTTTGTCTTGAATGAGGACAATTTTATTCATTTTTAATTTTGTTTCTTGTTTAATTTTGCCACAATTGCAGTAGGTAGTATTTTAAACCGATTATAGTGAGACAATTTATAGATTTTTAAATCCATACTTTTTCATAGCAACCCGATTTTGTCCCAATCTAAATTTAGTCCAAGACCCAAAAGTAAATTTACGCTACACCACACTGTTTTGACGAAATTTCCACGCAAGGATTTAGTCCAGAAAACAGCTGTTTGCCGCCAGTTTATTCAAATGGAGTTTCATTGCGTACTACTGTTCTGCAATGAGTTTCACCGGACAATAATCAGCTGATTATACTGTATTTGCGTGGCAATGAGTGGTTATAAACAAAAACATAACTAGTGATTTTTAGTCCTTTAGTTGGTGGAAATATATAATGATTTGTACGGATTAAGTAGTATGGCGTAAACTATCGTACGTAACTCGTCCAAAATGTGTGTACCGGACTCGTATGGTAATCCCGTGCGAGACGACCACACTCGTCCGGTAAACACTTATTTTCAGGACTAGTAACGTAATATACTATTTTAACCTGACCCAAAGTAATAAGGTCTGGCCAGCCGATCCCCTCATGTTAATATCTTAAATTTTAAAAAATATATATATTTACTAGCTGTACCCGCGGGCTTTGCCCCGTTTAACTTTATAAGTGAGCTCGTTCGCATAGCTCAATCACGTCCTGGTTGAAGTTCGTTCGCTACGCTCACTCACTTTTAGGTTGGAGCTCGTTCGCTGCGCTCACTTGCCTTCAGGTTAGCTCGTTCCCTACGCTCACTCACCTTTTGGTTGCAAATTAGCTGTTGTCATAAATGTAAAAGAAATAATAGTGCTGCACCCAGTTGGTAATCCTTGTAACTTTAATGCTATTGAACATCATAGAACAGAACCAACTTGTTTAATTGAAACAGCTGTTAAGATTCATTTCCATTTAAATATGAGTACTCATAAGGTTAACATGGGAAACTCCAGAGCCACTGGGGCGGAGCCGGAGAGTCCGATCAGAATAAAAACAGCTTAGTTTTCCTATTTAATGCCTAAAGAATCAGTGTACACAATTTCAGCCTCCTAGGTAAATGGGAAGTAAGAAAATTAGTGATGAGTGAGTGAGTCAGTGAGGGCTTTGCCTGTATATATATAGATTAGCTACTGTACCCAAGTGAGTGAAGATTAAAAATAAATTCTCGTAGACTTAAAACCCTTTAGTATCCGATTTGTACCATTTCAGAATCATACCTTCCCATAGTTGGTTACTATGACTAGTCTCTTAACCTCCTTCCTAGGTCTAATTTCCAATCGGATAGTTGAAAACAAAACGTCGAGTTCATCAAGTTGAAGCAATCCCGCGTCTATTTCTAAACCCCCTAAGCTTCATCCACCAAAGAGAGCTGCTGGGGTCTCATTGATTGAAAATCTGGCCTTCAAATGTGAGTAAATGATACATTAGGATTAGATCTATACGACACCAGCACATAAATGTGCAATGTACAAACTTAACAAGAAGATGAAAGATGCGAGTTGAATGAGATGTTAGCATTGTTATGTTACTGACCAAGATCAGCTGGTTCTATAACCAGGATCAATATTCATTAAAAGCCCAAAGATCAAGGACAGCTGGTCTCGGTTTTTAAAGCTTCTTAAATTTGTCAGCATTAGGCTTGAAATGTTCTAATAACCAGGCAAGCACTGAATCCACTCAGCTACTCAGCAATGAACAACATGTGGGATGAATGAAATCTCTTGTACTCTCATTGTGACAGCCGTCTCAGTAAAACAAAACTATCTTCAATCACCTGAGCGATGCGCAGAAGGTCCTGAGCCCCGCTGCTGTTCAAATCGAGCACCGCAGCCACCACAGTGAACCCCCGACAATGACAATGCAGCGCAGTGGAGTAGCCGATGCCAGAGTCACACCCAGTAATAGCTACCACTAGTCGGTCTGCGGACAGTCTGCGTTTCCTGCGTAGCCAGACTCCTGTAGACACGGCTAACACAGCTGCAGCACAAGCTATCAGCCTTGGTTGAATCATTGTTAATCTGTGAATATTATTAACGACTGAAAATTATTTGTAGAAACAATTTATGGTATGTGACTTAAAATTAAAATATGATTCCAGCAGGAAAAAAACATTCAATACAGATCTTTTGGTACTTGGACCCAATTTTAACCAAAATTATTTAGATTGTAAAATTGTAGACTTCTGGGGATGACCACATCAGTAACAGTGGATGAACTAGTTGAAATACTGGCTGACGCTTTAGGATGCATTGCAACAATCCATTTTTTTAGGCAAGCTAAAATTATAGCTGGAGGATTGATGCAATGGATCAAAAACATTGGCAATTGGCCAACATGGTAATCATCTCCTGAACACCAAGATTCTACTTTGAAGTATGTCTACTGACTGTGAAAGCCCTTTTTCTAGCGCAGTTATTTTGACTGGGTCCTGCGTTTTTTATGGTTTTAGCAAATTTCCCTATAGGAAAGTAGCTATTACCACCGTAGGTGGCACGGTAAGACCTAGACCCGGGACCGATTTTCTTTTTCATTTTGATGTCCCCAGAGGCCAAAAACACCATTGGTTCAAATTTTTATATATGTATATATATATATATATGTCCGTGAACGCGATAACTTGAGTAATTTTTGTCCGATTTTGATGAAATTTGGTTTAAAGGTGTAAAGCGGGATAAACTTGAATGAGTTCGCGAACCAGCATGATCGCACCATGGGAACGGGGCTTTACGGGGGGTTTTATGGGGTAAAAATTGGTTTTTCTCACTTCTGACCCTCAAAACACAAAATTTCCCAATTTCTCTTTAGACCTTTTTAAAGAGCTTAAAAAAACAAATAATTTAGTATATAAAAGTATTTTCGTTCGGTTATTAGTAACGGAGAAAATTTAAAAAATTTTAAATTTAAAATTCCCATGTTATTCTTATGGATAGTATTGTCAAATGTTGTAGTTTGCTTGTTTATGGATATATTTTGATCAAACTTGGCAAATTTATTTATTTTGTAATAAGCTATCAATATTTTACTCAAAAACACACTTTATTAGTTTCCTTGTAGCAGCAAACCTAGGTACTCGTTAAACCTAATGTTATTAAAATATATTTATCTGAAAATCAATTCAGACAAATGGAAATTCGCTTAGTCGGCAGGTTTGCTGCGGCTGGGGTATTTATTATTATTATCAGAGTAGAATTAGTGGAAGTTATAAATATCAGTGGTCAAAATTGAATACATGATCAATGTTACAAATCATAAAATATGCCCGTTTCAGATGAACATAATATGTTGAATGGTTGAATGTTGAGCAGGCGTGGCAATTGACCATCAAAAGTATGGGGCTCCCCAAAATTGTTGTCACTGATGAAGAGAGTAAAGAATTACGACAGAGACTTTGCTGTTACTTTCTAAAGCAGTGGTTGAGCCAGAATTATTGACATATGTAATGTTTATTAAATTTATGTTAAATAGCCGCTTCGAAAAAAAAAATTGTTTTCATTTTGAACTAGAATAGTAGTTTCTAATCAATATCATAGTGAAATATAATTGGTAAGCCAGTTGTTTCTTTAATTATATTTATTCTAGAAATTTTGCACTTCAAAGCATCTAATGAAAAATATACCAACATTCCAACCATTTGGTGACATAAGTCATATAAGCTATCTTGTCAAACATAAAATGTTAATTGTGGGCTTTACTTAATTCAACAAGCATATAATGATAAGAATTCGATTTAGCTTTCTACCAACAATAAGATGAAAACCAAACTAGGATAAATACCACAAAATCCAACAGAACAAGTCACAACACTTCACATAACCTTCTTTGTTCTTCAGATTTCAATTTCAAAGATTTCAAATCAGGAAAGAATCATGTTTAAATTTGAATTCATACACCTTTCAGAGCCCATTATAATCATATAGACAGACAGAAACAACCGGCACTTGCACAACTGTACTCAAACACATCAGATGATTCTTGAAACAAAACACGACACAAGCAAGAAACAGCTGGAGCTGGATCAAATCAGCTGAGAGCAATGACCGGATGCTTGTCCTGCTCTGATTGGTCAACTGCTCCAACCGGTTGTATGGCTAGAGGCGGGAAATTACACTATTCAAATCTTTGTGGCATTTGAAACAGATCCAAACTTCAATTACTGCCCCTGTATTAAAAAAAAATTAAAAGGAGGCATTTAAACTCCATCCCCTAAATTTACACTGTTATTTTTTGTCACCAAGAGAATTTTGGTCCAGGTTTGTTTTACCATCTTTCATTAAATTAAAGAGCACAGAAAGCTAGAAGCTGGATAAGTAAGTGCTGGCCAACAGTGAGGTCGCCACAAGACAAGCATTAAAAAAATTCTGTCCTTGATCATTCAGGTTTAGTAAAATATCCTAAATAAAGAAACAGCTGCTCTTAGAAATAAAGCTAGCAGATCATTTAACATCACTATATATACAGGATTAGGCAAAAGTCCTGGAAAAGTAGCAGCCTTCATTACACGGTGTGGAAGACCCTTAATCGAATTAGGGTCGAGGTACCAAAATGCAAGACAAACATGCAGAAATGGGGTCTCTTACCAGACGAAGAAAACATCTTGTGCGCGTGTGGTGCTTTTCAGGATCTTGGCCATCTGCTGATCTGCAAATGCCTAGGCCAGTCTTGCACATTAGATGATCTTTTTCATGCGAATGACAAAGCCATATCGGTAGCTAATTTTTGGAAATGCAAAGTCTGATTTCCGGACACGGAAAGTAAGTAAGCATCTAGCATTCATATTGAGCTTAGCGCATCAAGTGACTTTGTCGGAAAAATAATGATTAATAAGTATTGAAGAAATACTTTGTGTTACTGATGCTTAAATGTACATTATTGAGAAGACAAAAATACCAACACCTATGCCGCTAAAGCCAAAAGAGTACCGTAATGCAATTGGGCAAGTGAAAAGTGCAATACAATTACAGTATAGATTTGCAATATCCCGTTTCCCATCGCTTTAGGAAACCAAATATAGTTTGGGGTTAATTTCTATCGATATGTAGTTAAAAATGTAAACAGAAAACTTTTACATTTTTGTAGATAAGAAATACTGAAGTTGTTTAATAAACTCAACTTTTTCTCTTTTGACATTTGCAGGAAGACATGAACAATGCCAATTCAATATGGTCACTCACTGTCATTACATTTTATATTCTCAGGACTATCCTAAAGACCCTCTAGACCACAAGTGTCATGCTACACACTGACATAAAATTAACAAATAATCGTTTAGGTTTGCTGTGTATTTAACCTATTTGATCAATGATTATTTGACACCACTTATTCTATAGGCAATTTTTAGCTTTTGGCTGTTAAAATCTGTTTTAAGTCCTATTTTAATTACAGAAACACTGAAGATTCTGTTTAAAAAAATCTTAATTTGTGTAAGTTCAAATGCAAGCTAAAGAAAGCAAAACAAATTGAGTTTTTCAGAATCTTAAAAAAAAAGCAGGCAACAATAGTATATTTCATAAAAAGAGTAGAAAGCGAGTCATTACATATTTGAGACCATGTTTGAAGTGCGAGATTTATCAAGAATATGATGTATAGAGCCACTTTCACTCGTTTTTACGTTACTTTTTGCTACACTACAAAGACTTATTATTTTCTTAATTAAAACAGACATTGGATATTTATTTTAATAAACTGTTAGGAACATTACAAAACTCATAGCATTTTCACAAGTTAAAAATTGAAACTGTTGAGAAGATAATAATAAATCTTTGTTTACGTCGGCAAAATCCAAAAAGATAGTTAACATTACTTTTGCAAATTAAACATTCTTTTTCGGTAGTAAGCAATGTAATGATGAATTTTCACAGGTGATAAACATCTAACAAAAACAGGTAATTTCACATTAGTGTAGCGAAAATTTTTTTTCTATTGCTATAGTAGGCCTGATTTAAACAAACAGTATCACATTGAAGGAAGTAGAAAAGTCAATTGGTTTATATAAGACAAGTTTTAGCTTTTAGTTTATGCTATACTAACATTGATGGCCTCAGGTTGTGAACAAAAACAATGTTGTTATCACGGGTATTCTTTATTCAAATGAACAAATAAACGCACAAAGGAATGCATGTTGTTTAATACAGTAAAAAAGTAGAAGGAACAGACTGATAAATAATACACATATAGGAATGCATTCGGTTGTGTTTTTAATACAAAAGTTAGAAAAAGAAAGACTGGGGAAAGAAGGGGGGAAAGAAGAAAAGAAGAAGGGGTGATGTGAAAAGGCTTAGTTCTCGTCGACCTCAGCCTCCTGTTCTTCGTCAAATTCGGCGTCTTCGTCAGCAGTGGCTTCCTGGTACTGTTGGTATTCTGAGACAAGATCGTTCATGTTAGACTCAGCCTCAGTGAATTCCATCTCGTCCATGCCCTCTCCTGTGTACCAATGCAAGAAAGCCTTCCTCCTGAACATAGCGGTGAACTGCTCAGAGATTCTCTTGAAGAGCTCCTGGATGGCGGTGGAGTTACCGATGAAGGTAGCGGACATCTTGAGACCTCTGGGAGGAATGTCACACACGGCTGTCTTCACATTGTTGGGGATCCATTCAACGAAGTACGAGGAGTTCTTGTTCTGAATGTTGAGCATCTGTTCGTCGACCTCCTTCATCGACATCCTTCCTCTGAAGATAGCGGCGACTGTGAGGTATCGGCCGTGTCGTGGGTCGCAGGCAGCCATCATGTTCTTAGCGTCGAACATCTGTTGGGTCAGTTCGGGCACTGTGAGTGCTCTGTACTGTTGGCTACCACGCGATGTCAGAGGGGCGAAACCGGGCATGAAGAAGTGGAGGCGGGGGAAGGGCACCATGTTGACAGCCAGCTTACGCAGGTCCGCGTTGAGCTGACCAGGGAACCTGAGGCATGTGGTTACACCGGACATGGTCAGTGACACGAGATGGTTCAAGTCTCCGTAGGTGGGGGTGGACAGTTTGAGTGTGCGGAAACAGATGTCATACAGAGCTTCATTGTCAATGCAGTATGTTTCGTCTGTGTTTTCTACGAGCTGGTGGACTGAGAGGGTGGCGTTGTAAGGTTCTACTACAGTGTCGGAGACCTTGGGTGAGGGGACAACGGAGTATGTGTTCATGATTCTGTCGGGGTATTCTTCTCTGATTTTGGAGATAAGTAGTGTTCCCATACCAGATCCGGTACCACCTCCCAAGGAATGTGTCAGCTGGAATCCCTGTAAACAGAATAGTAGGATTAAAATACATTCATGAGTAAAAAAAAAAATCCACTACTGTAAGCTGTATGAGAACAGTATAGCACTGAGTTTAATAACAAAATGAGTAGAATAAAATAAACAGGCTGAATACCACCGACAAGATTGCATACATTCATGAAGTAATTAAAAACAGATTTATTGTAGGATGTCATTACGTTCATGAAAACTTTAGTAAATAATAAACCCACCCTTTTCCATGGTATTCAAAAATCTATCCAACAACCAGCAAATTGTTCAAAGACAGTTATAAAATATCAAGAGTAGAATTTATACATACAAGCATATTAGACAAGTATAATTAACATTAACAAAAATGTTACAAACCTGTAAGCAGTCACAGCTCTCTGCCTCCTTCCTGACCACATCGAGCACAGAGTCGACCAGCTCAGCACCTTCCGTGTAGTGTCCCTTAGCCCAGTTGTTACCAGCACCGCTCTGTCCAAACACAAAATTGTCTGGCCTGAAGATCTGGCCAAAAGGTCCTGACCTGTAAACATCATCCTCAGTTAGGAATATAAATATTGCAGCCAGGATCATTTTGATGTATATTAATTGAGATACCTATTACTATTATGATGATCTCAATATTTCTGAAAGGTAGTAATAATTCTGTTCTTGTAGAAGGTTAGATAAAGGATTACTTAGTAAAACTGTTTCTTAAATTTAAAAACATACAACTTTTTTTCAAATTTAACTTTTGAGATGACCGTAAAACTGTCTTTAACTCTTAAACTGTTATCTAGTCATTTTCTCAACTGCATTATTCCCTTACAGGTTTACTACACAACAGGCTACTTATTACCTTTCATTCGCTTGTCCGCATAGTCCCCAAAGAACTGAGCTTAGTACATAAGGTAAGATATGTGAGCTAAGTTAGTACAGAATTATAGTGAACTGGAATAATAGAATTTTAGTGGCGGCACCGGAAATGAACTCAATGCATCACAGTCTTTGTTAAGCATTTCTGGCCAAGTACTTCCAATGACAAAATGACAGTTTTGTGATTTGACGCAGCTCAAAATACAAATGTAGAAAGTGTGACTGACCTAACACTGTCCATGGTGCCTGGCTCCAAGTCCACAAGGATGGCGCGAGGGACGTATTTGCCGCCGGAAGCCTCATTGTAATATACGTTGATCCTCTCTAGTTGAAGGTCTGAGTCACCGTGGTAGGCTCCGGTGGGGTCGATACCATGCTCGTCTGAGATGATTTCCCAGAACTGAAACACAATTTCAACATCAAGACTTGTCATCTAGTTAGATACATCATCATTGAGAAGGCCCTCCCAAAAATAATTATCTACATTGATTATAACTGTGAGAATGAATCATTTTGTTATGCCGTTTGGTTCTTTCCCAACAACTTCTAATGGTGTAAAGATAGCTTGATAGGCCTATTCATGTATGATGCATGATATCGGTATAAACCAAAATAATTACTTAGGGTCTAAGCTTTGGACAGTATCAGGCATTTCCTCTTGACCTTAATGTTGCGCAGTTACGATATAATCAAAGTGAAGTGTCAATAGTGTCATATTAACTTGATAATGATGAATTGGACGCAGTGGGAGATTTCATGGTTACAAATTTTTCTTTTAACACACACCCATGCGTACATGACAGCTACAGAGCTGCAATTTGCGTCATTCTGTTCACAAATGAAGCCAGGAAGTGGTGAGGAGCCTCGCTGCGGCGTAAAAGGCAAACT